TCTCTAAGTGCCATGAAGACACAGGCACGCTCTCTAAACACCGGGTTCAGGATGTTTAGATGTGTTTTGGGCCATTGTCGATGTGTTCACATGCTCATGCCCGACTGACATTCTTACACTGTTCGCGCGTTATCAGGATGCAAAGCAACCAAAAAAGCAAGTTTTTAGTTTTCTTTACAAAGACTGTGCATACTCTGGAAATAGGTCACAAGAATATTATGCAGAATAAATGCAGTTTTCTTTAAAATGAAAACATCCACATTCCACATCTTAGGAAAATACGTCCTTATGTCAGTAATCAACTTAAGCACCAAAGCTGAAAAACAAAGTCAGCATAGTTCACAGGTCATCTGACCAGGAATTAAATTTAAAGAGCCTTGTTTGGATGCTTCAGCGGTCACAACTATAATTCTGGAGCTGTTTGACTGTGGCGTAAATCTCCCCAGGATGGAGGGCAAAGGTTTGCGGTTTGGCCACATTCGGGTTCAACCTGCGGTCAGGTTAAGTCGCCTCAGCTGAAGGTGGTGTGATCTGCAGTAACACATGCGGGGACATTGACACTTTGTTGTCCACATATCACAAACTAATGAGTAAAAAGTACATTATCATCATCAGTAATTCTTCTAATATCAGGATGTAATGTAACAGATTTGTAGTCAGCTTAAGTCACACAGACTTTATTTGGTTCTGCTGGCGTGTTTTTGTGGAAATAAACTTTTTATGTTAATAATGCAACTACCTGTGTTTGTCTGCTGTATATGCACATTCATGTGTTAATAAGAAATACATCAGATCGAACCTTTGTGGAATGCATAACAATAACAATGTTCTGTGCACTGTTTGTGGCCCTCGCACTCATCAGATACAAAGTCCTGAATAGCCTAACATTACTCATGATTTCCTTAAAACTGGACCACGAAGCAGTTTTTATGAAACATTACTTCATCTAGAGCATTTACTTGGCAAGCAAAAGGTCGCTGGTTCCAGCTGGAGACACAAATCCCTTTTGGGATTGTGTCAGAAAAAGCCTCTGGTGCAAATCTCTACAAAATCAAAAATTTGGAGTCACCCACTGTGGGGAGCAGCTGAAAGTGGCTTCTTCTTCATTATCATCCACAGGTGAATTCACAGCTGTGCGTGCTACTTGTTGCCCGTTGATGTTTTTTCGACATTAGATGTCAGCTACACAGAGAAATAACCCCCAGCTAAGAGCCAAATATCTCGTTGTTTGCTACTGCTAACAACCATTGCTGCCGTGAGAGACTGATATCAGTTTTTCAACTGATTGCAACCCATTGCTTTTTACTTGGGTCCTTCATTCATCACAATTAGAGTTTTTAATGAACTCTCATTGTAAATATTGTTTTAGACACTGAATTATAAATCAGAGAATCACTTTACCTTTAGGTCTAGATGCAATACCTACACATTGTAGGTTTTCCCTTAAGCAGATATTGGCATTTTTAGACTTCATCTATCCAATAATACTAATAATAAAAGACAAACATGTCTTACTAATACTAATTTACGCTGAAATTAAAGTGATTAATCTTAATTAATCATAATCATAGCTTAAATTAGGACACCTCCAGCACAAATATTGATATGAGACTTTGATCCTCATCTTTGCTTATAATTTATGAGTGTAACTCAAGTTTTATAGTGAGCTGTATAGCTTATTGCTTTTTATGGTCATTAATCAAACACACACCTCATTAAACCGGCTTTCTCACAGACACAGTCAAATACCAGCAACGATTTATCCTTTTCTGAAAGGATTTTGCAGAATCGAGGTCAGCAGACAAATGTGCAACAAATGAGCCAAAGACAAGCACAAAACGAAACAAGCTGTTGTGTTTCTCAAAGTATTTGTATCTGGGTTAAAGATGAGCGTGTAAGTGAAGCCTGAAGGATTAAGGTAATCTCATCATATGGTTCCTCTGGGAAAGTGTAGGCCATCCAACTTATTTTGGTAGACTGATCCTGGATTGATGATGGAAAAGGACGGATTGTGAGTCAACAAAAATGCCTGTTTGGGTGATAATCAGCTTAATTGTCCAATTTGAAAACACAAATAAAAAAACAGTTTGCATGACAATAATTAGCTTGACAGAAAAAAGCTCCAATGAGAACAAAGTTTTCATTTAACTTTATTTTTTTTAAATACTCTTTTATATTATTCTAGTTGGTTTATGTACAGGTATCTAACACCATCGAACTCGGTTGGAGCAGTTGGAGCAAACTCAGTTGGAGCAAAGTGGTGAGCTGGTTAGAACCATCTCCTGACAGCAAGACACCCCTGGCTTTGAAACCCATGCAGATGTGGTTGAACCCACATCTGCATGGGTTCTTTCCACAGCTTCCTCCCACAGTTCAAATACATGGATATTAGGTTAACTGTTGATTTTAAATTGGCCACATGTATGTGACTGAATGATTTTGTTCATGCAAATGTTCTTTTTCTTAAGCTTGTGCTTTTAAAAACGTATTGATACTGAATATCCAGAAATCTGTCATTTACTAAGTAAATAAATAAAAAAAAGGCTTTGCTGACATGATGCAAAATACAGAAAAACACAACTTAAAAAGAGATTTTCCTTTGTAGTTATAACTTTGCTTTTGTTTGTCTCCTCCACTTTTAAACACAATAAAGGCTGGAGCACAAGTGGCTATCAGAGCAGTACAGTTGTTATGAATAGAGTTTATAGAGTTTATACAGCCTCTGTGAAAGAGGACTTCCCTTAACTTACAGTGTATTCAAAAACTTTTGATGCATATCATGATGAGTTCATCTTGTTTAACATTTCAAATCTGCAGTCTGAACGCAGACGTACTCTGCCGTTCCTCGTTGAACTAATATTTCACACGAGTTCGTTTTGCGCTCAGTGAGACAGATTAAAGCGGTTTAGCGGAAAACAATTGCACATGTGTGCACCGCAGAAAACAACTAAAGGCAAGATGCTAAAGAGACGAACTACGAAGAATGCACACGTGCGCAAAGTTACTCCTGGCCAATCGTGCCCTTGGGATTTTCTGGACGGTCTTTCTCCTCCTAGTGCGAGGAAGGATAAAAAGGCCATTCCACACACGCACTCTGGTGTACTTCCTCCGCATATGTTCACGATGCTGCAGCTGCTGACATTCTTGGTGGAGAAGGTCTCCCTTCTTTTCAAGTTCAAACTCTTTGAGTCCAGCTGGTTAGAAAGTCGGCAGCGGGAGCGCGCTGAGCGACGCACTCCATCGCCACCCCTTCGCAGGGGAGACGTGCTAGAGGTTCCCAGATCCCTCTTCACTCACTTCGGCATCTATTTAGGCGACAACAAAGTAGCCCACCTGATTCCAGACATCCTCCCCGTGCTCACGAGCAACGACAAGCTCATCAGCTCTGTCATCACAAACGAGAGGCTCATCCTCGGCTGCATATACAGGTGTGCCACGGTGCGCGTAGACACGCTGGAGGACTTCGCGTATGGCGCCAGCATCCTCGTGAACCATGCTGATAAGATGATGAAGACGCCACCTCTGCCCGACGACACCGTCGCCAAGAGAGCTGAAAAGCTCATAGGAGCCTTTCCGTACAGTTTACTGTGGAGTAACTGTGAACACTTCGTGACGTACTGCAGGTACGGAGCAGCAAGGAGCCGGCAAACAGAGCAGGTAAACATCCCGAATTGCCTGGGGCCATGTCTAAAGTATGCCGAGACTTTTAAGAAATGTTACAATGATAAATAACTTTTTTTTTCCTGTTTTCTTCCCTCCGCAGTTCTGTGAGGTCCTAAAATCAATCATCAGGGACCAGCGCACTGTTATCGTTTCCGGGCTGCTTGGAATTATCTCTGTTGTTTACTTTGGTATGGCACCTTTAACTACATTACCCACAATTCTGATTCCCTTCACTCTCTGGATGGCTGGTTAAAAGAGCTCAAGCGAAGAAGCCAATAAAGAAGATGAACTTTTACTTGGCAAAACCTCCCTGAACACTGAACTCCAGCTTCATGCTTTGTCACAGTTCTCTGATTTCACTGGCCAACAGTGTTTGATGTATTATGTTGTTACTGCATCATTAGTTTCTTATTTTACTCTCAAAATGTGGGGACTAAACTGATTTCTTTATTAGAAGAATACAGTGAGTTACTTTTGCTAACATTGGACTAAATCAATAATAATGTTGTATGTAAATAAAGGTTATGAATATGACAGTTGTTTAATAAACAATGCATTTTTACGTGTTTGCCTCGTGTGAATCTGACTCTTCTTACATCGCCACATGAATGCCAGTGGAAGAAGAGGCCTGCATCACCCATGCTAATGGCAGATAACTGGTCATAGGGTCAGCTGTGGAACAGGCTGCGTGAGAAAGCCTCCAAAACAATAGTTGACAAACAGATAGAGAGCAAGTGATGGATTATCGCAAACCTTTATACTTTTATATCAAGAAAGAGTCAAACCCATCACAGGACTACATTTGGCTTTAAGGGTATTTGACATGAAATTATAAGAACCTATCTCAGCTGAGAGTCGGGGTACATCCTACACAGGCTGCCAATCTGCTGCTGGACAACCAGCAACCACTCACACCCAGACCTACGATAAATACAGATCACAGATCTAATATATTTCTCTCAATATTCAACAAATCACTGAATAATAATGAGACTGGTTTGAACACTTGGAGGCCGATCTAGTCTGCAACAAAGAAACTAACAAAAGGTGCTTCTTTGGGTGTAATGGCTCAATAACTGTGACCTTTAAATTGGAATTGAACTTGTTGCCCAATTAGCCTTCCTGATGGGGGCGCTTCACCTTAATACCCCACAAATAGGCCTGAATTTCAAAATCCAACCACACAGAAAAGGGATTAAAGAAAGCTCCTTTGTTTTCCTGTGAAATTCACACTAAAACATTGAGCAACATTTAATCCTCCTCGGCAGACTCGGCCCTCCCATTTCTGTTATAAATAAAACGGTCAGGTGTCAGCCTGTGTGCTGCACACTGCCATCATGTTTCTCTACCAACTGCTCAGCTTTTTCTTTGTAGTTTCTAAAAAGGAAGAGAAGCCCAAATATGATTTATCTCTGTACAAGCGCGGCGACTTGCTTGAGGTACCCAGGACATTATTCACACATTTCGGGATTTACCTGGGGGACGATCGTGTGGCTCATCTCATTCCGGACATCCTGCCTGCGATCACCAAAAACAAATCTGCGATTGCAAAGATGGTAACAAATAACCGCCTTATCCTGGGGGCCATCACCAAAGAAGCAAGCGTCAGAGTGGACTCTGTGGCAGATTTTGCTTATGGCTCCGAGATCCTGATCAACCACGTGGATAAAGTGTGCGCACAGCCTCCCTTAGATGGAGACGAGGTGGCTCGGAGGGCAGAGAAACTCCTGGGCTCAGTCACCTACAGCCTGCTGTGGTACAACTGTGAACACTACGTCATGTACTGCAGATATGGAATGGCCATCAGCTACCAGACATACCAGGTAAACTCCACACAGAAAGGCCTCCCAGCAGCAAGACTAAAGGATGAAGTTCACTTTTTTCCAAGTCTGACTTCAAACAAGACTAAATAGGTTGTTTGTCACTGCGTTTAAACCTCGTGTCTATTCTTGTTGTAGAAACATAATTTTTGAATACCTTGCCACACACAGAATAAATGCATTTAAGGAAGTTAGACTGCTACAAAATATTTGTTTGATTGAATTTTGCAAAGTATTTTTTTTAATAAAAAACCTATAGAAGACAGTAGATTTTGCTATTCACTTTATTTTGAAAACCATATTAGAAAGAAATCTACTGGTATCTATTGCAGACGGGAAATATAATTAAAGCAGCCAGGACCATATATATTGTACCAGACATTTTATATATAAATTTTTTACATAGGTGTTATTTTAGAAAGGAAAAACATTAATTTAGACTTTTCCTCAAATAGGGTGGACTTTTTATAATTACCTCACTAAACAGTGTGTAAAAATGGTTTATTAGTACTTTTTAGGGATTTATATTGAAACAAAGACTTGCTTTTTAAAGGTTATGTTTATTTATTTATTTATTTATTTTGGGGGGGGGGGGGGGGGGGGTTAAGTTTTCCTGCATTTGTTATTTTGAACTTAACTATTTCCTGAGGCGAGCAGCTCCATCTAGTGTTACTTTGTGTCCACATTGTTGTCATTAAGACTTTCCCTTTTCAGAACAAACATCTTCTACTTTTCTAAATTTATCTCACACACTTTGTCATTTATCACAGCCTAATGTTGACATTTTCCCCCCAGTTCTGCACTACGATACGGAAGATCGTGTTCAGCAGACTGAGCGCCCTTTTGACTGCACTGTGTGGCGTGTGCACTGCGCTGTATGTAGGCTGCGTGACGCCGCTGATGTTTGTACTCATCCTGCTCGTCTCATTCACCATCTGGATGGCTGCCTAATGACCCCTGGAGAGACCGACCTGAGAGAAAGGACTCTGGCCCTGTTTTTGCTGTGTTACTGAAAACACTGGAAACAAGGTTTCTAGGTTGTTGTTTCAACTTCTTATATATGGCTGTTTTAATTTCTTTCTTTTTTCTTGTAGTTTTCTGAACTGTTAAGTAAGCTGTGATATTACTGTAGTTTAGCAGGTTTATTTAGCACAAATGTATTATGACTCAGGTGCAAAACTTTAAAGACTTTGAATAAAGCTCAAAGACATTTAAATAAAATAATGACTGAGATATATGATAGAGTACAGGGATGAGCTGTGCAGTAAGTGTGATAGATGGGTTCAAGGTGGGGGTGGAATTACATCAGGGATCAGCTCTGAGCCCGTTCTTGGTTGCAGTGGTGATGGACAGGTTAGCAGATGAGGTCAGGCATGTCTTCAGATGACATTGTGATCTTCAGTGAGGGAGTACCTGAAAGGATGGAGTTGTGCTCTGAAGAGGAATGAAAGTTCAAGATGTTAAGATTTTAATTGGGAATGAAGATTATATATCAGAGGGACAGCTCAGGTTTCACAGTGAGAGAGGAAAAGTTGAGATGGTTTGGACATGTGATTATGATGGACATCCCCCCCAAGCAGCAGGAAAAGAGAAAGGAAAAAGAGGAGGTTCGTGCATGTATTGAAGCAGGACACGCAGCGGGTTGATGTGACAGAAAAGACCGCTAAGGATCGGGTGAGATGGTGGCAGGTGATCTACTGTGGTGACGCCTAAAGGGAGAAAGATGATGAAGAAGAAGACGAATACAATATATGTCAGTGTGATGGTGTATGCAAATTGTATTGTGATAAGACTCACAGAAATGACACAACTTGTTACTTTTGTATGTTGTAGAATAAATTACTGTTTGTACCATGTGGACAAAAGCGCAATAAATTCCTTCTATTGTAATTAGTTTTTGTTATTCTGTTAAACAATTTGAATTTCCCTTCATGTTGCATTACTTTTATGGCTCATAGGTCATATCATTACATTATTATCTGCTGCTATTTCAATCGTTTTTGACAACGCCTTGTCTGGGAAAAATAGGCGGAGACAACAATGCTCAGAATTAAATGTTTTTGCTGCTTACTGCAGAGACTGTTGTTAATCTTCTCCCATTTCAACAGTAACAAGGAAAGTGATATATGCAGTACAATGTTGTGAAATCATCTTAATAAATTCTCTGTAAATATTCAGTATATGGCTATGCAAACACACAGTTCAACTTAGACTTAGACTTCGAGCTTTTTATTGTCATTGTGCAGTTTCTTGCACAGCGAAATTGGGTAGCTGAACCACAAAGGTGCTAAAGTAAGAAGAAGAGAAACCAATATACAACAAAGGCGGAAAATAAATAATTAAATAAATAGAATAAAATAAAAAACATTGTATATTTATACATATGTGAGTGGAACTATATACATGGTGTGGACCAAAATAATTGCACATGAGCCAAAAATATTGCACAGAACATGGAAAGACTGAGATATTGCACATAGATGATCAACAGCAGTGTCAGGGTGGATGTGTTGGGGAAGTCTGTACACACTCTTAGTTTGCATTAAGAGTTCTGAGAGCCCACGGGAAGAAGCTGTTCTTTAGTCTGTTGGTTTTGCACCTGATGGATCTGAGCCTTTTTCCAGAGGGCAGGATGTTGAAGAGGTGGTGGTTAGGATGGAGGTGGTCCTTTATAATTGCCCTGGCTCTGGAGAGACATCTTGAGCTGGCAATTAAGTTCAGGGAGGGGAGTGGACAGCCGATCACCTTCTCTGCAGTTCTGATGACCCTCTGTAGTCTCTTCTTGTCAGCTGTTGTGCAACCAGCGTACCACACAGGATGGCGTGCACCAGCACACTCTCGATAGTGGCACGGTAGAAGGACACTAGGAGTTCAGTCTGCAGCCTGTTCCATCTCAGAACCCTCAAGAAATGGAGGCGCTGCTGGGCTTTCTTTACTAGGGCTGATGTGTTTTGTAATGTGCGGTGGAGATGAAGCCAGCCGCGGAGGTGTGCAGGTGGATAGCGAATGAGCAACAGCTTCTGACTTTCCAAAAAGTACTCATTTATTTACAATATCAAAAATAAGTGCTACCTCTACCACACATTACTGAAGAGCACACTAGTCCGCGTACACACGGGAGCATCCATTACAGGAGGAGTGCGAAGAAGAACAAAAAGGGGGTGACACCAGTCGTGAGACAGGAGGCGCCGCCATGTGGTGATACACTGCATTACGATAGCAACTGATACATAGTCCCCCCTGGTGAGAAAAAGGCTGTCCTCAGCCGTACACAGCTGAAAAAACACACACCACACCTAACAGTACCCTATACATAGAGGTTACAGCTAAGATTGGTGCACACACACAGGGCAAAAGACCATTTAAAAATGAAATTGGTGAAAATAAGACGAATATGTACAGTGGAAAATCAGTCTTCTTAGTTTTTTCACTTTTTCCTTTTTTTTGTTTTTAAAGTAAATGCCAAGAATGAACCTTAACGCACTAAAGAGCCATAAAACTGGATTAAGTAGAGCAAACAGAAACATCTACATATCATGACTCAAAGTAGCAATGCAACAAGACAGCATCAAACAGGTTTAACCAGAACATTTCACTTCAGATCAAGCCTGGTTGTGTGAAAATCATTAGTCCATCTTTTGTTGCTCCAGCCAGACGTAACTCTGGGGCAACGTCTGGGCCTGAGATTGTAATGTCCACCAGCAGCTGGGCGCTGGACAGATCTGGGTGAAACACTCTCTGGAACAGCGCCCACACCAGAAGAAGAGTCAATGTCCGGTAAATCAAAGGGGAATGGCTCAGAGCCAATGTCAGTGTCTGCAGGGGGGCCAGGGTGGGCCTGAGAGTCAGAGTTCAGACCCTCTGCGGTCTCTCTCTCAGCAGGCAATGAAACAGAATGTTCTTCGGAAGTGAGAGAGTCCCAGGTATGGAACGGTTGCATGTTCACAACATGATAAACACCTGCATCCACACCGGAGTCCACCCAAGTGAGCCTGTAATTAACATCACTGAGTCTCTGAGATACACACAATGGTCCCTGAAACAGTGGTGCAAGTTTAGCAGTAAAGTTAGACTGAGCATCTGACCTGGGGTGTGTCTTAACTCTCACAAGGTCACCAACACGAAACGAGGCATGTCGATGTCTCAAGTCATAGTAATGTTTTTGTCTGTCATGGCTATAGTCCAAAGCTGCTTTGGCGTGGTCGTGAGCTTCCTGCAGGGAGGCTCTCAGAGTCTCAGGGTAAGGCACACCCGGTTCATCAACACCTGCTGTAGAAGGCTGAGTGATAAGGTCAAGCGGGGTGTCTAACTCACGACCATAAAGCATCATGGCAGGAGTCAAACCTGTACTGCCATGAGGGGCGGTGCGCAGAGCAAAGCAAATCTGAGGGAGAAACTTGTCCCATGATGTGTGCTTATCACCTACATAAGCGCGGATTGCAGTTTTCAGAGTCCGGTTGACGCGTTCAGTAGCATTTGTCTGAGGGTGATATGCCGTAGTGAGTCTGTGCACCGAGCCTAATGCAGAAACAACATGTTCAAAAAGCTCACTCACAAAAGGAGACCCTCTGTCAGAAATCAGGTAAGTGGGTGTACCATGTCTAGCAAAAATGTCAGTGACGAATTTACCAGCTGCTACCTGAGATGTAGCTTCTTTGACAGCACTGGCTTCAACCCATTTAGTCAAATAGTCAACAAACACGATCAAATAAGCATTACCAGTGGGGGTGCGGGGAAGTGGCCCAACAAAATCCACACCCACATACTCCCAGGGTTTCTGGGGGACAATGGGAACCATAAGACCGGCTGCTTTTTTCTGACTTGGCTTGGTGAGTTGGCACACTGAGCATGAAATCACATAGCGTTTCACATCAGCTGCCATTTTGGGCCAGAAAAACCTAAAACGCAGCCTAGCCAATGTCTTAGAAACACCCAAGTGACCTGCTGTGGGGTGGTCATGGTAATAGTCCAGCAAGGTGCCTCTCAAGGAAGTAGGGGCAAACAGTTTCAGCTCTTTCAAAGGGTGCAAAGCACATGTGGACTTGGGTTCCCTGTGATACAAAAGAGAGTCATACACAACATACTGTAACAAGGTGGCATTGTCCGAGCTGTTCAGAGAGTCTGCTTCAATGTCTCTGAGGAGTGGACCTGTGACGTGATCGTCTAACTGCAGCTGTCTCAATTGTGAACGGTCAGCCAGAATGACGGGGGGCAGAGTACGAATGTCCAGGCTGCCCATAACAGCATGATCTGGTAAAAGATCAGTCGGCCTGTCACAGGTCAGAGGCAAAGGGTTGCGTGACAGTGCGTCGGGAACTTTGTTTTGTGCACCAGGTTTGTGCACTATTGTGAAATCAAAGTCCTGCAAACGAAGTGACCAGCGGGCGAGTCGGCCCGTTGGGTTTTGACGAGACATGAGCCACCTGAGACTGTTGTGGTCAGTGAAGATAGTAACATGAACACCTTCAACATACGGGCGGAAGTGTTCCAGAGCCCATATCACAGCGAGGCACTCCTTCTCTGAAGTGCAGTAGGGGAGTTCAGCTTTGTGAAGGGAGCGACTAGCAAAAGCCACAACATACTCACGACCCTTGTCATCCTTTTGCATCAACACTGCCCCAAGACCAATGTCACATGCATCGGCGTGAATGGAAAAGGGACGGTTGAAGTCTGGAAATGACAGGATCGGGGCTGATGTGACATGATCCTTCAAAGTGTCCATGGCCCTTCGACAGCTGTCGTCCCAGTGGAAAGCATTGTCCTTTCTGGTGATGGCGTGAAGAGGTTCGGCATGGCGGGCATAATTCTGAATGAAGCGTCGATAATAGCCAGTCAAGCCAAGGAACTGACGGACGTGTTTCACTGAGGTTGGGGTATCAAACTCCTTAACCGCCTTTACTTTGTCTGGATCGGGCTTAACACCTGATGATGTGATGCGGTACCAGAGAAAGGTGAATTCATCGAGGCAGAATTGGCACTTTTTGAGCTTCAATGACAAGCCAGCAGCCTGGAGTCTGCCCAGCACCTCCTCAAGATCCACTAAGTGCTGTTCAAAGGTAGGTGAGGCGATAACAATGTCATCCAGGTAGACTGCGCACGTTTTGTAAATGAGGCCAGCAAGCACAGAGTTCATGAGTCTCTGAAAAGTTGCAGGTGCATTGCAGAGCCCAAAGGGCAGCACCCGAAACTGGAAGAGACCGCAGTGAGAGATGAAGGCAGTTTTAGGCTTCGAGTCCTCTGCTACAGCAACCTGCCAATAGCCTCGCGCTAAGTCCAATGTCGAGACAAACTTTCCTCTTGCCAGAAAGTCCAAAGACTCATCTACACGAGGCAGGGGATAAGAGTCTTTTCGGGTAACTTGGTTGAGCCCTCGAAAGTCCACACAAAACCTTGGTTCCGTGGCCGCTCTATTTACAATGACTACAGGAGCTGCCCAAGGGCTTGTGGAAGGTTCAATGATGTTGTCCTTCAACATTTGTTGTACTTGTTCTTCAATCACACGTTTCTTAGCAGGTGACGTGCGATAGGGTGGGAGATTGACAGGTGTTGCATTGCCAGTCTCTATGGCGTGCTCAGTGAGAGCCGTTCGACCAAGTTGACCATCAAACAAGGAGCTAAACTTGCTGAGCAGATTGAGTAAAGCATCCTTGTTGTTCTCTGAGAGACTTGCTTCAGACAGTTTGGCTGTTAAGTCTGAGCGAACCAAGTCCAAAGACATCAGTGTTCCAGGTGAATGTGAGTAATCATTTTGAAGGTCCTCTTCATCGTCTGCGAGTGGGCAGGGGATGTCCTCAATGTAGACGGTTCTAGTGGGAATGTGAATAGAAACAGAAGCTCTTGCCATAAAATCCATTCCCAGAATG